TGCGGACTGCGGGAATTTCAGACGAATGCTCTTGTTTAATTGACAAGGGTTCTAGTGGCGATAACGAGAGTTGCGCATATGCGTTTTTTCACATTTTCCAGCTCCCGCGGACATCTTAAAAAAAATCTGCACAGAAGGCTACAGGTGATTGGCCCATTAGTTTCAACAGCGGAGATAGGTTTGTGCTACGTCCGTTTATATTTACTGTCTAGCGTTTGGACATGCCTGCTTTAACGGGACGCAAAAAACAAAGGTTTATAAATTAGATGGTCATTTTGTAATCAAATAATTTATGTTATTACTTTGCAAAAAGAAAACAGTATTTTGATCATGAATTTGATTATTGGATTTGTATTTGAATGCATCCTGCTGCAACAACAGAAAGATTTACTTTTTGTTACTTTGGGGCCCCCCTTGTCGGGGTTTAATGTCATACCCGGCCCCACTGTGCGTTACACCCATTTATGGCATGTTATACAGCATTATATAAGAAAATCAAGGAAATCAAACACCAGAACTAATATTATCATACAAAGTTAAAAATTGAACGCAGATAACTAATGATAATAGTTAACTTTAGATTCAGCCCAACAGCTGTAACAAAACTGGGCATTTTTCGCCTTTGGTTCAGTTTGTGAATATTGTTGTCCTCCATATGTTCATATACTCTTGCACCACAATCACAAAACACTTTTATGGGCACTGACTGACCTAGACTTCACCTTGTTGTGGCCTCAACCGAAATTGTGTGTGAGATCCCCTGTTTGTAAATGAATCACTGTAAGGCACAGCAATTTTTTTGATTGTTTTAGTGTTGTTAACGTTGTTCCCTTTTTTTACTTTTTATTGTGTATTAAATTGTGGCTCTTACAAATAAACCTTCCTGTATTGCTTTACAGTTGGGAATCAGAATCATACCATACTTTATACTTACTTAACACACATAGTTAGCCTTAATGCCTTGGACAGTTTCACAAGAGCTCAGGGAATATTTTTATCAAGAATCTAACCAGGGGTAGACAGTGCTATCCAGTGAGACACTTAATCCTTGCTCACTCCTGTCGCTGTGATGGTGAAGGGCATGCAGCTGAGAATAATAATGAGCTGTGGAGTTGTTCAGCTGTCAAGAAAACTTAAACAACGTCAAAGCATCCAAATTTAGACATGAATCAGCATCAATTTGGAGGAAATCGCTACCATGGCCAGCTGCAGTCATCGAACCACAAAGAGCCAAACATTCAGGACCAGACAGAGAAAACATGAAGAGATGAGACCCAAGGGTCAATCACCCGTGCGTGAAGGGAAAGAAGCACTTGGGGAGTTTTAAGGAGAATAGAACAATTCCATGAAGAACAAAAATACGTTTTGCTTCACTGCATGAACTGTCAATACGCCGACTGTTTGTGTGGGTGTCGCACTGTTTGCACAACTGCTTGGTTCATCATGTGTTATAGTTGGCTCCTTACAGCCTCTGATTCTTCTCCTATAGCGCTAATCCTTCGCCCATAAGGAGCATCTGAGAGTGTGGACTTAAAATATTGTGGGTCCTTGAGTTCATGCCAGTTAGATGCACACAGACAATGCTGGTCTTCATGGAGGGGCTTTTCACAGCACGGCTATGAGGCCGACTTTTCAGGTTAAAACAACTATTTTCCTAATGTCTGTCAGTATAAGCTCTGCTCTGCCTCATATAACTTCCGGACATGACTTCTTCTTTGTGATCTCTGTTTGGCATGTTACATAAAGGACCTACTGTATCACTGTAGCCCTGCAGGGCCACTGCTTGTACAGCCTGCTGGAGGCCACGAGGCATAGAGGACAGCAGGACATTACCTAGTGAGGAGCTGTTGTAGAAACAGAGAGCTCAGGTAGCACCGTGATTTGGAGCAACGCCTGCACAAGGTAACGGTGAGTATTAGGGAGCGTCTGAGTGGCTGACAACACAGACCGATTGTGATAAACAACCTAAGCTAGTGTAACTACTACTCCTGGAACAGACAGTTAATTAGACTCTCTCTTTGTCCCTCGTGTGTAATTTACACTGTCATGCCACCAGAAATCAGCTGCAATTTTTTAAACTGGTTTTAACAAAGAATAACTAAGAAAACTATTGGATGGATTCTCATAAAAAAAAGATTGAAATTGTTCAAATAAATTCTTGTATGTTTCGCTGAATATCTATCAATATTTTGAGAATCTTGGCTTAAGTTACATTTACAATTAAATTTAATGATTACAATTCTTTCCTCTTCCTGATATTCGTATAAAATTTCAATTAAATAAATATCCATAAATCTTTGTAAATTGCATGAACTTCCGGTTTTCAACTTCAACATTTGTGGGTCTTCTGTGTATTTATTCTATTAGGAAAACTTTCATTGATGTTTTGTGATACTATTTTCCTTTTTGTTCATTGAAAGGATGGACTGACCCCCAAGAACACTTTATTGTCTCTTCCATTTGAAAAACTAAAAGATGCTGCAATTCAATAGATTATAGTCTGTTTTACTTTGGAACACGAACTGTGACTAAGTCCTGGGATGCTTTTGCAGCGTAGTGTGAAGAATCGCTCTCCGTCGCCTCCTGTGCACTTTCCCATCCTTCTCCGGCTTGCTTCCGTCTTACAATCTACTTGACGTTTCGCATTCTCGACGTATTTATTTGCGTTCATCCACTTGGAATTGTGGCGCGACAGCCAGGGCGAGTTATGCCAAACTCCCATTTCTGCCAATCTGGATCAGTAATCACACAGACAGCTCAGTGCCAAAGAGCTGGACTGTCATTTCCTCAAAATAGACGCACATATTAGTTTATGTCAACCCACAGTAACAGTTTTGTGCACCTGTTCATTTGTTTTCATAGATTACTACCATATGACCGACTTGGAGAAATCAGCTGAGTCAATAGCCGTGGTGAAGATGACAATACATCGGACAATGGATTATTGCCGGGAAATATCTCATTCAATTCTGTAACTTCAAGCAGGATTCGGTTTTTACTAGAGATTCAGTAATATTATGATCAATAAAAAGAGTTCTTAGTTTTCGGTTGCACTGCGTTGTATAATGTGATCAGATAGTTTTATTAAGATCCTACCGGTATTTTTCACTTGTGCATCTTTTTGGGTAACAATCTTCACTCGTGCGGTTGTGCACCTGTTCAGACTGTCTTCCTCTATCTAGGAAATTTGTTACCCATGTTTGTAATTATCATGTTTTTGATTTATATATTTCTGTGTTCAGCCGACATCATAAACATGCTTTAATAGCAATTTTGTGTGTCATCTTCTTGAAGGAGTGGAAGGTTTTCTTTATTATCTTTCCCGTTATGACACTGATAGGTAATGGAAACTTACATTGCCGGGGGACTTTGTTTATGAAGTTTGATCTGACAGTAGCCTTGGTCTTTCCACACCATCGTACTCATTTCATTTTGTTCTAAGGTCTGGATTGGCTCCATTGAGTTCTGGTTAACAGGTGGGAGGGGTTTTACCCCAACTGTTGCAGATTGTAATCGAGTGGATCTGAGTCTTACCGTGACATACGTAATTGGCGCCCAGAGTGAGTGAGGCATCTAGCATTTAGCCTAAGCTTTAGCATCTCCTTTGCCCTAACAGAGCACGTGGAGGAGTAGAGCCACAACATTTTTTTGCAGCAAATGACATTTACTAAAATTCCTCTTAATCTGCTTCAATTTCTGCGCTATTCTGGATTGATTTTTTTTTTTTTTTTAAACCAGAACAGATTAATTTTTACTGTCACATTCTCCGACAACTAATACAGGCGAAATTCAGCCAAACTCTTGACGGTCACCAACACCTTACTACAACACCCGCCTCCCCCAGCGCTCTGATGGTTCGGAGGAGGGAGTCTAACCGAGGTTAAACCGCAGCCACTGGGGATCAGAACCCATCGTACTTGTAGGTAAATGATCATGGGGACCAGAGTATATGGGGATGGATAAGACGCAGGCTAGATCTGAGGGTGAGATCTTTTTGATTTGGTTCACAAACTGTATCTTTTAAAAGGACCGCTCAAGCAGGTTCAAACTTGGTTTGGCACCAATTAACCTGTAGTCTGTATTTACTGTACTCAATGTGCATGTTATTATAATTTTATTCACTTGATATTTTTGAAAGCAAATAATGGTTTGGCTAAAATTCACAATACCAGGGGACTCAGAGGGTATCGTTTACTCGAAACATTTGTCAATGCAGAAATGCAATAATACTATAGAACGTCTTTGGTCATAGGGGTTGCCAGAGTTACATCCTACTCAACCATACATGTTATTGGAGTGTCCTGGGTACAACCTACACCATTGAGCCTCACATCTATACCTGCAATGAACCTCACTGATCTTGATTTGATATGTTCCACAAAAACAATCTCTATTCCGCCACCGGACATGATACTTGCACCGACCCCATGTGACATTTTGTGACAATGTTATTATTTTATTTTATGATACAGAACATTTACATGATCATAAGACTCCGTCCGCTACTCTATTTGATCACTGCGTTTAATTCACGATTAATTCATAAATCTACTTTAAATAAATATTCTCATTGAGCTCTCAATGTCATACACGAGTGGAGTGAAATGACCCAGCAGCGCAGCCACTATCAGCCGTCAATGGATCAGTGTGATTTGTTAGTCCCTATGGACGGTTCAGTTCTTATAGTATTGTGATATTGGTCTCATGTCAACCACTTTCAGCCTTGACTCTATCAACCACCAGGAATATGATTTAATATAGTAGTGCTCCTAACAAACCCTGATACCTTTTATAGATCTAAGTCAAACAGACTTTCAGATCACCAGCACAATGGAATCCTTCCATGCCTTTCACTCAGGCCTCTTTTTCCTTTCTCTCTCTAATTACAGTTGTCCGTCCCGGGGCGCCCCCGCTCCTCCGTGCTGCCGCCAGCTGTGACACCCCCCGCAGAGACCAGGAAGGGCTTCATGATCGTATACTTTAATCTGACATTTCAGCCCTCATTTCGCACCTTGCCGCCCGTCCCTAGGACGCCGCCCCCCGGCTCCCCTCCACCAGCGGTCCCCCCCCCCACTTCGCACCTTACTAAGCCAGACGTACTGCACGCGTACGGCACACGCTCCACCCTAACCCCCACATTCACACATCACAATCTCATCTTTGTTTCCAGTCCATTTTCCCCCGACTCTTTCAAAACAAAACGAGGACAATTGAATGCTTCCAACTCTTGGCCCCATCATAATTTGGTCTTGGTCGACCGATAATATATACCTGCCCACCTGCTGGGTCTTCAATGAAGTTGCCTTTTTCATATTGATGGCCCTAATTGGTTCGATAAAATTGTGTTCACTACCCTTCTTCCGCCTCGTATTGCGTGAAAGTGCTTCAGAAGGCGGTGGACATCACAAATGACCGTGGCCATTTATGGCGAGAATTGTACAGGCAAAGATAGACAGACACCACATACCTATGGTACGGAACCATGATTTTCGACCATTATTTTAGCATTAATCTAAAATATTACTTTTATAATCGAAATATAAGATAAATTAATTGTACGTTTACAGAATGCTTTAACCAACGGAGGAAAATATATGCAAGGTAAATAGAATAAGGTATTACGTCATTAAGAAAAATGAGCCAATAAACAGCCCAATAACAAATCATTTTGCTTAAATGAAGAGCTGACATCTAATCCCAAGGCATCGTTGGAAATTAACCTATATTTACTCTTTGATAAAATATACATAATCTCTGTCTTGTCACGTCTCTCAAAACCGTACATTGATTGAGTTAAATAAAAAAATATTAGTGAAGTTAATAATAGTGATACAATATATGTCGCCCAGCATGCTTTCACCCTCCCTCGTTACAGTCTGTACTTGCCCTCACCCGTTGTCTACACCTGTAGGTCAGCGAGGACTCCCACGACGACAGCAGTTCAGCACCTCGGAAAGAGTCAAACCGGGAAGTGACGGGCGGCAACAAGACGACGGTGCCAACCCCTCGCGACGCTTCCCCTCCGGAATGCCTCCTGACGCGGGACATTGAGGGACGTAAGGAATGAAAAGAATAGGACTAGGAGTCGAAGGTAGATAGTGTCGTGTGGGTGTGGGTTTGTGCTTACTGTGGTGGGGGGAGATACCACTGAGGTCGGGAAAACCCCCCGAAGGACCCCGCGAGGCGCGGCATCCGGGGCCGCCCGCGTTCTCCGCTCACGCCGGGACCTGAGGCCTGCTGGTGAATCTATGTCTAGACATAAAAGAGCCGATTCATAAAGTCGTTAGATTTCCCTACACCACTAGGCTCATCTGTCTCAGTGTAACCTGGCCCACTGACATCTGTCAGTGTCGGCTTCCTTGTGTGTCTCATTCTGTCGTTTGTGCATTGACTTTGCTGGTGCAGGAAGCGTCTGAGGGACCTGAGGAAGATCTGGGACAATTTCTTGAACTCATTGATGTTTTATTGTTGTATTCTCCCCCCCCCCCCCCCCCCCCTTATGATTCCATCGGTTTTTACTCCGTAATCTTGTAACCCTGTTGTATGACCATGATTAAATGGCAATTGTGTTTCATAAAGATATCAGTCGTTAATTTGTATTTACAATTTTGCACTGGTTTGCATGCATCACAACTTTTAGCTTACTTTTTGTTCCCTTTTTGTTCCCACACTTCCCCTTTTTACCTTGTGCTGGACAGAGAAGCTCAAAAATTATAATAAGATCATATAGTGTAAAACCTGTAACTCTTTGTATCATCAATTGATCCAAAAAAAAAAAGGAAGACTGCATAGTGATAACTGTGACAGACCTCTGAATCATTTTTAAAACCATTACTTATATATATTTAAATTTGTTGTAATTAGCGAGGGAGAATTTGTGTAAGAATGTCTGTGAAAAGCCTGACGTCCTTGTTGTTTGTCAGTGCTGTTTGTGAAAAATAAAACATAATTAATTCTGATTGTATTAATTCTTGTTCTTGTGTTTATTTATTATTGGTATGATAAAAATGTATCTAAAAAACTGCCTTAATCACTTTATAGTCTTATCGTGCCATGAACCGTATAAAACTGGGGTCAGGTAAGGGTTGGGACATCAATTGCTTAAGACATTTTAATCTTGAGGAACGTTATTTGCCATCGTGACTGAGTAGTAAAAGCTCAAAATGAAATCAACCTAAACAAAACAATGAAATGTCTTCGGCGCTTATCCCTATAGTATACAATATTCGCACTGTTCGTCCATATTGATTTCCAATTGAATCTGATGCGAGCAAATCTGGCATGTAACCTCATTGTGACAGGGACCCCTCGCAGATGCCCATTTTAAGAGCCATCAGGAAAAAAAGCCGTACGTATTATCATGGACTTGTATGTCTACATAACACAAGACGATTTTAATTTAAGCCACTTTTCCCCTACTTTGTCGCATAGACTCCCACTCACTATTTTGATCTTTGCAAGAATGAAGAGTGGATATTACGGCACAGTGCTCTGGCATGTGCTGTGTGGATAGTCCAGCACCAGTTTCTCCAATGTGGTTTTATCTGCAATGGCAAATACATTCTTGATCATGAAGTACAGAACCACGAGGTTCAGGTAAGATTTTGTTTCACTTACGGGCAGGATAAAAATCAGGCAGGAAATATAGTGACCGTGTGGACGACACAGACTATCCAATTACACCTGTACATTGTGACTACAGCTTCCAATCCCCCTAACACACGATCTCCTAATCATCTGCAAATTGTGGAAGTCACTTTGAAATGTGTTTTTCTTTATACCGGCCACTGTGTGCATTATGTACTGCTGTTACGTTGTTGTTTGGAATGAGATGGATTGATAGATGCAGCCCCACCAATAGCGCGCCTTTGCTACTCAAAAAACACAATAACATTATGAATATGATACAGAAGCTGGCGATGGCTACCCGGGCTTTTGGACATTAAAGCTTCCAACATCACACAATCTCGTGAACTGGAGGACTTCCATAATCTCACCGCAGGGCATTGCAGGTAAATTAATGGATTAGTGTATATATCCCCCCCCCCCCCCCCCCCTTACCACCAGTGGCATGTTGACACACAAAACTATAGACATGCACGTACCTGGAATAAGCAGAAATCTGCTTCTGTCTCCCAAAACAGACATATTTGTCATTGTCCGCAAGCACAATGGTCAAAGGGAGTCTTTCAGCAGCTGTGAATGAGGTGAGTTTAGGCCCGTGATTCAGGCCACTAGCCTTTGACTGTCATATGTAATGTTATTTATATTTCGACTAGGTCAAAGTCTGATAATCTCCCGTCATAGGCTGGAGAAGAAGAAAGTAAATTTCTGTGCTTTGTACCAGCTGTGAGCTATAATATTGTTATTCTTTAGTATTGGGCGTACATCAGTGGGTTTATAGTCGAAAAGAATAGACAGGGTACTGTTTGCTAAAACATAAAAAAACTATTGTTACGTTTCTTTTTGGTCAGTTTATATTTTTTTTCTTCCTCTGTACATATTAATAATATCATATTATTTATTTTGTACAAATTGCAGCTAATGAATCTGAACTAATCCATCCATTTTTTCCCCTTTGATCCTTTTCTGGGTCAGGGGCGGTGGCAGTAAGTGGAGGTCTTGAACCCACATACCACGTACAGGCTCACAGGCCAAAGTTCTACCCAACTGATGCCACTGTTGCCCTTGTTACCCATTGTTTTGTTAAATGGTTTATTGTAAACCAACCGATTCGATCTCAAAAACCCCTAATGTTTAAAATTAAATAAATTCATAATTTGCCCCCGCCTTTATAACATGAAGCTGTCTCGCCAGCGATGGACAGAAAGCGTTTGACCTAAACCCACTACGCCCCTCGCCCCCCCTGAGGCAGTGTCCCTATAGCGACAACTGGACGGGACATGTCACATATGGCAGATTGGTTGAAAACATGAGAGCAGACACAAAACGGGACACGCACGGGCTCTCGGCGTGCCCCCCCGTACGTGTATAAGCAGGTGTCAGTGGACCGCGCCTCTTTCAGCGGGGGGAGTGGCGGGGCGGGTTGCGATTAACCTTTGAATGGAGAGGGATGAGATGCCCCGGTGACTTAATATAGGAATACTGGATTGACAGCGCCGCTTACCACAAATCCGCCGTCCCACCCTTCAGTCCTGCATGGCTTCACTACCACTATTATGACACCACAACCGCACCACACAGACTCCATTTTGCCCCGAGGTCCGTCTCCCACAGTGGGAGATATAAAACTGAAGATCCGGGACGGGCCCCAGTGACACATACAGACAAGCCCCAGGTCATTGCTCTACATCCACTTCTCCCACCAAAATAATATGCGAACTACCGGTCCCTATCCAAAAGCAGATATGAAATGTTCTTGTCAAAGAATGAGAACTAATGCAACATGTCACACCCCCAGTGGCTACAATACTTCAACCCAAGGGGCGACACTAAGCCGCCCCCTGACGCGGTTCGGGCCGGAGGCCATCAAATCTGAAGCCAGGGTGAGTCTCGGGAAACTCGAGAAGCTGCCCATGCTGCCACAACTCTGTTTCGCCGCACAACAGCACCAGAGGACGCCTCAAAACTGGGGGATGGAATATATGCTTGAATACACAAAATTCTACATTCAAAATTCCATGAAAGAGACATGAAGTTCAGTTTGTTTTTTTATGAATTTGTTTCGCTCTTTTCATGTCTGCTTGCACCTATCATGATCAAATACCACATTACTATCATTGTGTATTTGATAAATAACTTTCTAAGTATATGTTTGGGTTGTATGCTGATCTTAGCTTACCTCTTAATAGTTTCTCAACTCGATTAAGTTCAATTGATCCTTGACCACTTTTCTCAAATACAAGTTTACCTTAATTTATTACATTTTATATATTCTGAGAATTGGTTTTATGGACCCTCAGATTACTCTATAAAGACTGATTCAGTTTCAGATTCATTTTATTGCCATTTGCAGTAAAAACTATTGTGAACTACACTGGCAAAAAGGTCCCCACGTGGTGCAAAAGATCATAAGTACATTATATACCATCACGCAAATTAAAAGTAAGGCTATAAAACAAACCACAAACACTCCTAATTTGCTCAATGCTCTCTAAGCAACAACTCTAACAAAACAGTTTAGTGTAATCGTGCAGGATCATTAAAGATGCCCACTTAAGTAAATTAAAATTGTTCTCTTTAGAAAGCCTAATTTAATCTAACAGCTGATGTAGCTATACATAACGTCTATATATACGAGGCTCTCTTCATCCAGGGGCATCACTAGTGCTTGGTAAATCAATGAATCCAAAATAACATCCCCATAACCCTGATCTGCCCGCCGTCGGGATCTATACAACAATTCGGTAAATATCAATATATATAAACGATACATGTCTAGCTCCCTAGTTTTAAGTTATCACAATTTCTAAGTGGTAGTTCAGAGGGTTGGCAATCTCCTCATATTTTTACAAAACTTGGCCCCGGACCCACAATTTACAGATCCGCTGGTCTCGGGGCCCCACTAAAAGGTATTAAAAGTGGTTTAGTTGATTTCCAATTTTTCGCTCCTTTCTCGTGCTACATTTTATTTTATATTTGACTACAAATTATAGCCCTCTCGTATCTTGACATTGTAGGTTTTTCCGCGATCTGGCTTCCCTTCCTCTCGTAGGCTTTGGATTCAATAACAACAGGGCCCATATATGAATAGATATAGATTTGAATATTATTTTCGATTCTAACACGCCCTATTCCCCTCTTATATGTTGTTTCACTCATTTTAGCAAACATCCCCCCCCCCCCCCCCAGATTCAATAATATGGGTGTTTCTACTGTCCTAAAACGTATTAAACATACCGCCAGTAGTATACGCCACCGCTAATTGTTTACAACGCTCGAAACTTTACTGCTATTTATGACTCTTTGATAAAGCAATTTCAGGCGGCCACTGATAAATGGTGTTGCGCCGGCCGCCGGATTTGGCAACAGGGCATGCTGCGTGTGCCACTTCCCCACATGACTCGCGCGTCGCGTTCCCCTCCCCTGCCATTCCTTTGGTGCCCCCTGCCCCCGGGACACTAACGCCATTAACCCGCACACAGCTCTTCGTGCCTTTCTGGTTTCGGGCTCCCTCCTCGCCGATGACCCATCGCACATCTGCACCTTTGTTATACCCCAGCCACCTATATTAACACTTCCGACCCCTAAAATGAATCTAAATCATTCTTGTCTCAATGCCCATCGTTGTTGCCCGGCTCTGCCATCGCGGCTCACTCTAACCACCCCTCCCACGCCACCGAACACACAAATGGTCCAAAAGAGATAAGATGCCCTTGACATGTTATGAATGTCGTCGAGCTTACCCAATCACTCCAAACCCCTCAATTCTGGTCTCTTACTGCTGACTACTCCCTTTCATCAATCCCACCTCTATCCAGCTGCCCGCGCCCACATATACTCTCCTCACCTAAGACTGCACCTAAAAACCACACGCCCACCATTAATTCTTCGTCCCCCGTACCCCCCTCCCCCAAACCCACATCCCGACAACACCCCCCCGCCGCAACGTATCCCACTCCATAATGATCTTGACCGCACTCCAGGACTTTCACTACATCGGCAGCTATGCTTGGAGTCCCCGCTGCGCACAAACCGCAATGTGCCTAATAACTGCGGTCGCTTTTTTTTCCTAAACTCCATGTGTATACGCGCACGTGTTACTCCTTGAGTGTTTCTCTACCTCCTCACTTTTTAGTAGTTGCTTCGTTTCCTAGTGGATCTCTCATATTTGTCCATGAGCCCCCATTGCTGCTAACTTGCTCTGATTTTTAATATTTTCAGTCTATGGTAAGACGTAATACATACAACTTCATCCCCCTATTCTTGCACCTAAAATCCTCACTGTACTTCCTATATATTGCTTCATCCTTATTACCTGACTCCTAAAGTCCATGCTCGACATTTTTGAACTGCCACTTTCACGCGCCTTACACATCCTACTTAGAAATTGTAAGTTTCTCTCGTGCAAGTTTCTTTTTTACATTAGTTTAGTGGGGGGCGGGTCAGTTCTGGCCGTACCATTTCTACCTTTCGTTGATCACTCTTTCCTATCTCTTCTGCCGCCCAATGGTGACGCGCCAACACACTGTAATACTTTGGCTCTCCCCTATCTACTGGGATATCCATGTCACACTTTCTTAATCCCCCGGGCTTTATCTCGGCCGCAAATACCACAGACAATACGCGCGTCACTTGCTCGCGTAATTTCTGTCATATACTCATATCACCCTTCCTGCGCCCGCCCTATACTCACATTCATTCTTTGTCATTCACCTGTCGTTCTCCGTATGCAACCCACTGTTTTTAGCGTCCTCCGCTCTCTCTAGGTCTAGGGCGGCTGGGTGACAAGGCTGAGCTGCCCCCCCAATGCGCCTCATACGCACCAGGTCCCTCGCCACCCCTGATCCCCCTCCTGCAGGGTGCCGTGACGTCCCCAACAGAAGATGGCTGCCTAACTCTCCACAGTCGGCGCGCGAACTACACTGACCTTCGCCGCTATCTTCACCTGCCCCCCCAGGGCCGAGGCTCTGGGGTCTAAGGTGACTTGCCCATTTGGAAAACAATATATGACAGATCGACATTAGTGGGAGCACCGGAGTTGGAGTAGGGTCCCCGTCGGTGGCGTTAACTAACCGTATACCACCACTCTCACAGGCACACACTCAAGGCCTGTAGCCCTACTACAACCACGCTACGTGTATTAGACGCTCCGTTTATAAACTAGATGTGACTGTAAGCTCTTACCCCTTTGTTGTATATATGTTTATGCGTTCTCTGACCCCACCTGATACTAACATTAGCAGCTTTACCCAATTGTCGTATTTCCGTTTTAGGGCATGCTGGTCCCCCACTCCTAAAGTAGACGCTCTGGCCGGAGCCGATCGGGTCACCAACACAGGAGCGACACCACCATGCAGTATGCACCTGTACTCAAAGGTAAAATCATAACATTACCACCAATACGTACCCCTCCCCCCACAGCTTTAACACCCTCCTAGCTCGCGCCTAACGAGCTCTATCTGCACTCACGCCGCAGTCCACATCTTTCACCTCGGAACCACCCCAGTCACTCCTACTCTTTGGCCGCTTTGGCTCACTCGCGGCTCTCCCGGAGGCCAACCCGCGTGGGAAAAGGGTCTGGTGAAGAGCAGTAATGGTGCCCTCTTCATTTATCTACATGCACCCGCCCCTATCCTCTACACTCATACATGTCCAATTTAGCCCCCCCAACGTTTACCCTTCATTCTCCGGCAGTACGCCCCCCTCCCTTTTTCGCCTACTTGTCTGATGGACTATTTCTAGCCAACCAGTACTCCCACCGACCCACAGCTACCGCATCACACGAGACAGAGGGGTGACTTGAAGGGGTCCATCAGCCGGCACCCCCCCCCCCCGGTGGCGCATTTTCAGCTTGTGTTGGGCCGCTCCCGTAAACGTCTTTCCACTACTACTTTCACACACGCCCCCCCATGAACTCACCGTCACATGAGCACCCTTTCATTACTCGCCGCTCGCCAGCACAGTTCCACTCCCTTGGTGAGCGATACACCCAACCCAGACGAGAGCCACGCAGGGGCCGCGTGAAGCCGAGCTCGCTCGAACAGAGACAGAGATCTGAGAGAGGTGAGAGAGAGAGGACAAAGAGGCGTTGAGAGAGAGAAGAGGTGTTTGTCAGTAATATGTTTCAAATAAAAAATTTTGCGAAATTTTTATCATGGACACCGACACGTTTACCTCTGAGGAGACACCTTGAGTAATGCGATTTCCGTCATCTATTTACCCCAGTACGCGTAATGAGTGGATCGATTCGTTGTGCTGGTAATTTCATCACAATAATGGACCTCTCGCCGATTTATAGAGTATTGTCCCACCCACAATGCAATTCTCTTCTCCCAAGTTTCAGCCCAAAACAAAAATTAATAAAAAACTGTCGCGCCGTTGCCCCACTTAGTATCAGCCAGGTTCGCTCTCCGCGTGTGTATGCTAAGTCAGTTAAGTGACTATTGTTTCTGCTTAGAGCGCCACCTTTATTTCAGACCCCAGGCTCACACACCAAACGCGTCCTCCGACCGTTTATCATTTCGATTAAGAGTCTCTGATATCGTTAACCTTCCAAAAGCGTGCACGCCCCGCGAAAACCTCCATACGCCCGTCCGGCTCTCACAACCTCAAAGCACTCGTGACCCCATATAGCACAGCTTTTTTTTGCAGATATCCGCATTTGATAACCGTCGGACCCTCTCTTGCTGACGAAGCGCGAAAGTGCATTTCCACTCAAGCCATCCACTTGCTCCCGTGCCCGGTACTTCTCTTCCATACTACTCAGTCCACTTTGCGCGCTTTGACCCCCCACATCCCTTGTTGACCACACAATGTCTGTACGACATCGGCCACAAAATCAAGTCACGCGCTGTTGGTCCTCGTTGCCAGTCCGCGCGTATTCTCGCTTTGTTTTTTTTTTTGACCCTGCCATAACGCATCATCCGCTCCGTGGCTTCCTTTTTATCCTCCGACTTGTGCTTGCATCCCATGAATGCCGGGGACGCCATGCAGCGTCTCTACACACGAGGGTAAAGCGCCCCCCCCTTTTTTTTTTTTTTCCTTTTACACTTTTCCTCGACCCCCCCCCACGCGATCGCGCCAAACTCGTGGTCGCTCACACTGTCTGCTGCCTTAAAAATCATCTTCCAGGACATTCAGTCCCCGTCCGGCAAACATCAGTCCTCTTATTTACAGCCTATGCTATCACAATAAAACTTGACTTGACCCATCCACTAAGCTCATAACTACGATCGCCACCTATCTCTATCATTCAGTAACACAAAATCCCTCGCACTTAGAAAATCCCAAACTACTCCAAGGCACCTACGGGGGTCTCATACTCGAAGTTTCTAGCTGCAGTTTACATCACTAGCATTGATTTTCGCACCACTGGCACTGTTATTTCTATAATCACGCAACCTCCCTGCAACTTTTTAGGGCTCTCCCCCTCGGGCTTTATTGCTCTTTTTTTTTTTTCGCGCTTACGTTTCTGAACCTCCACAATTTTTTACCCGCACTCACCCCCCTCCCCCCCCCCCCCTTTCCACTTAATTAAGCCCACTGCTGCCAGCCGCGATCTTACGCGTCGCAGTTCTATCTTGATGCACCACACAGAGCTGCATGCCTAAAGCCCTGTTTTCTCTCGTCCCCTCCTCCCACGGCACATCTAATAATATCGCTATTAATACATGTGAATATGGCACTCGAGGCCGACCGCCCAGCTCCCCCCCTGCCATCCCTCTCTAATAGGACGCTGCTGGCTCCGCGGACGCTTTTTCCTTCAAAATAGCCGCGCACGCCTGGCTCGCAATTCACACTCCTCACTGAAGGTCACAGAAGAATGGCAAAGGCGATGCAACGGATGCCCCCACAGCACGTGCAGGCCGTAGGCGCGCACGCCTCACACTTCTTAGAGCAGTAACGCACACGGATTCTCTCACAGCAACCGTCATTCTACTCCCCCATCTTTAATACTCTGGCACACATCCCGCCCTCAGCGACAGCGCAGTCCCCCTCCCACTTACAATCCAGCCCACATCTCGTAGAGACGTCGTTCTCCGCTAACCCTAGCGTACAACGCTCGTGTTGGCCGTCGATAGCAACGGAAGACCATAAGTATCAGATCAGTTTCTGCCTCACATCTATCTTTTCTATCGGCTCTGCTGCTTCGGAATGTTTTATAATCTTTCTCTCGCGCACGCCTCTCTATTACATCATGTTCCCGTATTATCTGAAGCTCCACACACAAAACCCGTACTCCACTATTTTAAGATGCTTATTCATTCATAGATCGAGAGCGTCAAGTCCCTCCGTTAAAAATAAGGCTATATAGGAGGATTTTCGACCTCTCCGGGTCGGCATTATCGCACCGACTTTTGCGTCCCACTGAAGTTGTCACATCCATCTCTGCGCTGCATGCCCGGCACTACGTCCAATAATGATCCGGAGACGCCAGTTTCTTGTCTCTAAAAAGCCGTGGACCGCCCCACAGGCCAGCGCGGCTTCTTGCTTCCCTCAAATCGTGGGTAATAGTTCCTCACCTTAATTCTCCCTGTTCTATCTACACTCTGCACTCTCTCGTGTATACACCTTGCCCCCAGATGGCTCGGCCTCCCCTCCCCAGCTCATGCCTCAGATGTGCAGCCCCTGCTCACCGGCGCCCTCTGCGTTCAGTATCGCTGTCCCGGCGGACCATGCCGGGTTACCCCCCCCACAGTTTCCACCCTCGTGAGGGGCCTTCGCTGCACGGCTGTAATGTGTCCTAACCACTCGCGCTCTCGCCTGCTGCGGCACTCCTTAGGCACCCAGACCAAACCCTCCCCCACCTAACCTCTACGCGTATGTATGTGTGTGTGTGTGTGTGTGTGTGTGTGTGTGTGTGCGTGTGCGTGTGCGTGCGTGCGTGTTTGCATATTAATATATATATATGCAACTAAATATTGTTTACTGAGACATAAATAGAGCTGGCTTCTTTTTTTTTTCAGAAAAGCTATGATAAAGGATTATGAAGGTGTAATTTACTAAATTGCATTATTTAACCTGATTTAACCGGATTGTGAAAGATTTCTTTATTTAAACTAAAGAAAATGCATTGTCATTATTAGAAAAAAGATATCTTGATGTCTTCATGCACTGGCCACTTTGGAAACTGTACTATCCTACAGATGAAGCCTCACTGTCCCAGATATCCACTGCTCTGTAAATACAGAGCCGTCCCGCTACAGGCCGTGCATGTGCAGGATCTGGCTGCTCCAGGAGTGCAGTATATAAGAGTTAAAATGACACATCTACAGGAAGTGCCTCATAAAAGAGACCCTCAGTTTCTCTCTGCAGAAACTAAATCCTGTGCTAGCTCTGTCCTGTCTCACTGACATGAGGCGTTAAGAACCAAACTGTAGACCCGGTCTGTGTGTTGCATTTGTTATTATTGATTTCAATTTGGAATTTGGAATTCAGCTAGGCAAGTTTATTAGCACAATCACACACTGATTATATCTTACCTTACTTGTCAGATCTATGGACAGGTGACACTGAATATACAGTATTTTTAGCATATGAAAAAGCAAATACGTACTGTATTTCAGAGCAGAAAAATAAAGTATTTAAATATCGTGCTGTATCAGCCCTCTCCTCTAAATAAATTAATGAACCATCAACTATAATGAACTATAACAAAAATCACACTCAGAAATGTCTTCTTATTTAGCTCTTTAATAATAACTACTATCATAGCCACAGCTGCCCTGGGGCACACTGGCAGAAGCGAGGCAACTAGTCTGTGCCATCGACCCCTCCCACCACCACCAACCATTTACGCACACCAGACTCCTTCTAAGCAATGTAGGTGGGGTGTCTTGCCTAAGGACACAACAACAGTTTGACACTTGACAGCCGCAGCAGCCCCACTGTGGAATCTGGTGTTCCCAGAGGTCTCCCATCACAGTACTAACCAGGCCCTACCCTGCACAGCTTCAGAGGTCTGACAAGATCTGGCTTTCACTTATGCAAGTATTAAAGGTATTTAGGAGGATTTTCCCAAATTTTAGGAAAGAACCGCCCTCTCCACTTTTTGACAAAACTCTCCGGTCTTATTGGACGAGGACGCATCTCCAGAATGATTGACAACTCAGAGGACCAATAGTCTTCATGATCCACCCGAAACGAAAATCCTCCTATATACCTTTATTTTTAACACGTTGACTCTCTCTATGTAGATAACATCTGTAAATTGTGGAGACATTTTGAGCTTCAGTAAAAGTACATGATGATTATAGAATTATAGATTATAAAACATTCCGAACAAAACAATGAAAAGATATGTGGCTGATACTGATCTGAATACTTGTCTTCCGTTGCTATACCAACACACTTGACCTTTTCTGTTTCTCTACGTAGTCTTTTGTGAGACTCCTGCTGCTGAAATGTGCCTTTATTTAAATGAGTAAATGCTCCGTCTGTGTTTATCCGTTCTTACTGCTCTAATGTGAGGCGTCCCCCGACTCCTCACTCTGCAGCCTTCAGCGCCTTTCCTTCTTCTGGACCTTCATGTTGTGTATTTGCACCAGAGGCCATGTTTAACCCGCACCAGCACGTCCTTGTAAAGGTGCTTCTCCATCACATATGCAAGTATTAATAGCTTTTATGGCCGTTCAAAAACAGCTTTAGGCTCAGCTCTGTGGCTTCATTAGAACTGCAACTAAATCAATGAAAATGCGTATTTAGTGGTTAGTCGTAAAAATGTTTTCTGAAACGTATACAAAATAAAAAAAACAATAAAACAAGAAAGATAATTGCATGGGTGCGTATTTTAAATTACAGCCATGAGAAAATAAAGGCTTTTTAAACTCTCTAAACTATTGACCCTCGAGTGCCTTGGAGTTTTTGGATTTTCTAAGATTTTTTGTTACTAAGATAATTGCATGTGTTTGAGCTTTGTCAAGTCAAGTTTTTTGATTACATAGACTGTAAATATTAACGGATGTTGCCACGACTATTTCCGAATTTGAAACTAATGTGACTCCACTTTTGCCTTCGCGGGGTAGGAAAATGTAAAAAAAAATAAAAAATGCATTTCCCCGTGTGTTAGCTGCATGAGCCGCATTCATTTAACAAGTGCATTAAAAAGTCCACAGCAGGGATAGGCTGGTCAAAAAAAAATAAAAAAAATAAAACTGCATCTGGACCATCACCGACTTTTGGACGTTGCTAAAATTGGTCAAAATGGAAAACCAAAGGACTATTGTATATGATACGCACACAATAGCTGAGTGGATAGCACTTTCTCTTCTCAGCAAGAAGGTCCTAGGTTCAAATCCTAGTCTGCAAAAAAATCTGTGATTTGGTCAGAGGCTTTGATGGACCAGTGTGTTCGGCGTCTCGCTTTTGGAATGGAACATTATCTGAACTCTGAACATTATAAAACGCGTTGGGTGACCTTGGTCTGTAATAATGCGCTCTACAAATCAATATCTCTTACTACTTACTTACACAACTAAACCTGAGATCTAAGCACGAAACAGTTTTTTTGCTGAAACTTTAAAGTGAATTGGCATTGTGGTGTCAATACTTAAATAAATGTACATTATTGATGAATTTCCTCACAACAATCATCCACTCATTTCATACAGTATAATGACACCATTACTCTTTGTCTCTCATTAATCGCTCCTATTAAAATGTCATTAATTTTTATTTGAAACATATTCTGACAAACACCTCTTCTCTCTCTCTACGCCTCTTTGTCTCTCTCTCTCTCTCTCTCTGTCTCTGTCTCTGTCTCTCTCTCTCTTCACCCCCCTCTCTCTCGTATGTGTTTCCTCCCATGGGAGAACTGCGGCTCAAGTAATGAAATGCTCATTACTGATTCAGCTGGAAATAGTGGGATACGTTTACACACCTACACACTCGCCACCGCCGCTAGACACCCTTCAAGGTCACCCCTCTGTCTCATGTGCGTCTGTCTGAGTACTGGGCTAGAAATGTCCATCAGACAAGTACAAAATGAGTGGGGGGCGTCGCCATAGGGTGTATAATTGGGGGCTAAATTGACAGTTGTGTATGGTTAAGTGGCATTTGATAACAGATAGCACCATTACTGCTCTTCACAGACCTTCCACAGCCTCCACGCCTGAGCCAAAGCACAAATTAGGAATGACTTGTCCGAGGAAAATGACTCCTATGCATAGACTGTGCATCTTAGTTGTTAAAGCTGAGGTACGTATGTGTATTTATTTTTACATTTATACATGGCATACTGGCATGTGCCTCCTGTTTGGTGACCTCGCTCCCATCTCTATTTGGAGTGAGAGACAAATGCCCAAAAAATAACAATTGTAAAGCGCTTTGTGACTCTGGTCTGAGAAAGCATATACATATATACAACATATATACTTACTCACATCTAGTTTTATAGAATATATACAGTAGGTTGGTATAGCTTCAGCCTTTGGGCCTGAAGGTTACGGGTTTGAACCCACCACGGGACCTACTCCAACTGCTCCCACTAATGTCTGCTGTCTTTGTTTCCTTGGGCAAGACACTTAACCCCAAGCTCCCGCTGAAATACCAAGGCTGTGGCACCACTGATGTAGCAGCCATCTTCCTGTGGACTCACCACCTGCAGAGGATCAGCGAGGGACTGGTGCTATGAGCATTGGGGGGCAGCTCTCATTGTCACCCCCCCTGACCTAGAAACAGACTAATAAAGGGGCAGAAAACGAATGAATGAATGAATGAATGAGTATACCAATGGTTTTTGACATTTTACTCTTTACGTATTGTATGTGGTTTCCAGATAATCTGATTAAAATGAAGAGATCCATTATTGGATCCAAATTTCTGTGTTGCATCACCAGTTACAGAACAGTAGGAATGAGGATCACAAAGGTAAATTACCCATAACTCTATACTAAATTAAAAAAGAAACTTCAAAAGAAACTTACATTTCTATAATGTAGCATAATGAGTTCAAAAGCTCTGACTTTAGCATAATAAGAAGCAGTATAAAGTACAGTGTATTTTAGTGCAAGAAATATGTAGTTGTATGTTTACGTCTGTACCATAGACTGTAAATATTAAAATCTGTGCATGTTAGCAGCATGGGGCTCTGGGACAAATAATGAAGATCAATAATCACCAACTACTAAAAGTATAAACTATAAAAGATCACGTGCAGTAAACATGTTAAAAAGCGACGCAGGATGACACAGCGGTTGCCAAGATCAAAGCATAGCTGCCGTGGTTGAGTCCTGGATGCGGTCATGTTCATGTTTGGAGACGTGCCGGGTGTTGTCGTGGGGTTTGTGGTAACGACTGTATGAATGGTGGAGTGGTTTAGAGCTGAGGTGAAGGGATTGCCCAGATTTGTGGATGAAAGAGTTTCAGCAGGTAGAGACAGGTGTGATTTGTGGTTTGTAATGACACAGTTCATTCATTCAGCATCTTTCTCTTTTCCATTTGGTGTTCGTGGGTGGTTAGAGCAGAGAGCCGGCAACAACGAGGGCTTGAGACAAAATATTTTCATTTTGAAGTTTTTGGTGGCTCTTAACAAAGGGCGAGTTCATTCTTCGTGCCTCCGATACAAAAGCACGTTAAGTGTAGGTTTCTTGCCCAAGGATCCAATGAAGGAATGAACCACAGCAGGCATGTTAAACTCAGGCCCGTGGGCCAAATCCGGCCCGCAACACCATTTAGAGTGGCCCCTGAAATGCTTTTCAATGATCATAATTACAGTAATTTTCAGCGTTGATACTATTAATGAGATACTATGGCATGTTATACTTTTATCAGGAAAACAACCATATTATTGAATCTGTTCTAAAATGTTAACTAGCATGAAGTTAAGTTAGATTCGTAAATTAATATTCAATCTATATCTTTTCATATTTGGCCCAGTTGTGATTGAATCCAAACCTACTAGAAGATCCTATCCAAACTCATGTCAAATAAAATTAATTTGTCAAAATAAAATAAAATGTACAAAAAATAAAAATAATGAAAGGCACTAACCACTTTTATACTTTTGGCCCCAACCAGCTCTTATATTGGTCCGGGGCCAAGTTTTAAAAATATGAGTTTGACACCTCTGATCTACCACTTAGAAATTGTTATAACTTAAACTAGGTCTATCATTATCGTTTATTTTGATTTACCGATTTGTTGTTTAGATCCTGAAAGATCAGGGTTTATGGGATTTTTTTTATTCATTTGACCAAGCTCAAGTGATGCCCCTGGAGAAAATCCTCAGATTTACTTTGTACACATCAAGCTGTTAGATTAAATTCTTTCTAAAAATCATTTAATTTAATTATGCATCTTTAATGATCCTGCACTTTTACTGAAACTGTTTTGTTGATTGATTTCAGTGTCAATTGAGTTTGTTTGTTTTATTCCTGTACTTTTAATCTGATTGTATTTATGTACTTGTCTTGTGCACACTGGGGACTTTTGCCAGTGTATTCCAATATGGTTTTACTGCAAATGGCAAATAAAATGAATCTGAAACTGAATCAGTCTTTATAGAGTTATCTGAGTCATAAAACCTATTCTCAGAATATATTAAAATGTAATAATAATAAACTTGTTTGAAAAAGGGTCAATCAATGACTTAATCAGTTGAGAACTATTTAAATAAGCTAATTCACTTACAACCCAAACATATACATTTGAAAGTTATTTATCAAATACACAATATTGTAATGTGTATTTGATCATTTAGGTCTACAACATGAAAAAAAAACAAATTCATAAAAAACAAACTGAATTTCTTTCTGGATTTTGAATGTAATTTTGTGTATTCAAGCATATTTTCCATCCCCTCCAGTTTGAGCATTCCTCTGTGTTGCTGTTGGTGCGGGCGAAACAGATGTGGCAGACTTGGCAGCTTCTCTGTTTCCCGAGACTCACCCTGGCTCTGATTTATGGCCTCGGCCCACCTGCTCAGGGCGCTTAGTGTCACCCTTGGGTGAATATTTCCACTGGGGTACATTTCATTTTTCCTCATTACTTTACAAGAACATTCATATTGCTATTGGATAGGGAACGGTTCGCATTTATTTTTTGGGAAAGTGGATGATGCATGTCTGGCTTGTCTGTTTTGTGCACTGCGTCCCTCTGTCAGTTTAGCTCCACTGGGGAGACATCCTCGGCATAAATGGATCTGTGAGTGTGTCATATATGTTTCCATGCAGGACTAAGGTGGACAGATTTGGTTGCGGCGCTTCAAATCCTGTATTCCTATTAAGGCACCGGGCATCTCATCCCTCTCCATTCAAAGGTTAAGGCCCCCGCCCCCCGCCCCCCGATGAGCGCTCCACTGACACCTCTTATCACTCACGCCCTGCTCCGTGTGTGTCTGCTCATGTTTTCAAACAATCTGCCATATGTGACATGTCCCGGTCTGTTGCCTAGAGACACATGCCTCAGGGCGAGGGGGCGTTTGGGTTTAGGGCAACGCTTCTGTCCATCGCTGCAACACTTCATTTATATTGAGGCAAATTATATTTATTTAATTTAAACATTAGGGGTTTTTGAGATCATCTTGTTTACAATAGAACCATGTTACAAAACAATGGGTACAAGGGCAACAGTGGCTCAGTTGGTAGAACTTTGGCCTGTGAGCCTTACGGTTTTGGGTTCAAGACCTCCTCTGACTGCCACCCCCTGACCCAGAAATGGATCAAGGGGAAGAAAATGGATGGATTAGTTCAAGATTCATTAGCTGCAATTTGTACAAAAATAATAATAATGATAATTATTAATTGTTCAGGGAAGAAAAAAAATATATCTACCAAAAAGAAACTTAACAATAGTTTTTTTAATGTTTTTGCAAACAGTACCTGTCTATTCTTTTCGACTATAAACCCACTGATGTACGCACAATACTAAAGAAAAACACTATTATAGCTCACAGCTGTCAAAGCACAGAATTTACTTTCTTCTTCTCCTGCCTATGACGGGAGATTATCTGACTTTGAACTAGTCAAATATAAATAAACATTACATATGACAGTCAAGCAGTGTCCTGAATCACGGGCCTAAACTCACCTCATTCCACAGCTGCTGAAAGACTCCCTTTGTCCATTGTGCTTGCGGACAATGACTATTATGTCTGTTGTGGGAGACAGAATCAGATTTCTGCTTTTCCAGGTACGTGCATGTCTTATTTTTGTGTGTCAACATGCCGACTGGTGGTACACTAATCCATTAATTTACCTGCATGCCCTGCTGGGAGATTGGAGTCCTGCCAGTTCACAGATGTGGTGATGTTGGTAGCTTTAATGTCCAAATGCCCGGGTAGCCATCGCCAGCTGCTGTTTCATATTCATACATGTTTTTGTTTTGTGCAAAGGCGCGCTTTGGTGGGGCTGCATCTATCAATCTTTCATATCCAAACAACAACGTAACAGCAGTAAATAATGCACACAGTGGCGGTATAAAGAAAAACACATTTCAAATGACTTCCACAAGTTGCATGTTTAGATCGGTGTGTGAGGGGATTGGAAGCTGTATCACATTTACAGGGTAATTGGATTTCTGTGTCGTCTCACGCACTATATTTCCTGCTTTTTCCTCACGTAATGAAACAAAATCAAACCTTGAAACCTGCGTGGTTCTGTACTTCATGATTCAAGAATGTATTTGCCATTTGCAGTAAAACCACATTGGAAAAACTGTGCTGGACTATCCACACAGCACATGCCAGAGCTCTTGCCGTAATATCACTCTTCATTCATTGCAAAGATCAAAATAGTGAGTGGGAGTCTATGCGTCCAAATAAATATGCGTTTTTAAAATGTCTGTTTTTGTGACATACAAGTCCAAGATAAGTACGGCTTTTTCCTGTGCTCTTAAATGCATCTGCTGGCCCTGTCTCAATGGTTACATGCCAGATTTGCTCCATCAGATTCAATTGGAAATCAATTTTCAACAGCGAATATTTGTTTCTATGAAAAGACCAAAGACATTTCATTGTTTTTGTTTAGTTGATTTCATTTTGTGCTTTTACTACAATCACTTCAAATAACTTCTCATGTTAAAATGTCTTAACAATTGTTCCAAACCCTTACCTGACCCCAGTTTTACTCATCAAAATAAGTCTTTAAAGGTTTATAGGCAGTTGTTTTAGATACATTTCATACCAATAATAATAAAACTAGAACAAGAATTAATACAAGCAGAATTATTATGTTGTATTTTTCAAACAGCACTGACAACAACATGGACGTAGTGCTTTTCACAGACATTCTGACACAAAGTCTCGCTAATTAAAACAAATTTAAATATTATAATAATGTTTATATGATTCAGAGGTCTGTCCCAGTTATCACTATGGCATCTTCCTTTTTTTTTTGGATCAATTTGTTACAAAGTGTTACATTTAATTTATTTGATCTTATTTATATTTTTGAGCTTCTCTGTCCATCACAAGGGAAAAGGGGATGTGGGGAACAAAAAGGGGACAAAAAGTAAGCTAAAGTGTGATGCATGCAAACCAGTGCAAAATTGTAAATACAATGTAACACTATATCTATATAACACAATGCATTATCATGGCATACAACAGGTTACAGATTATCAGTAAAAACAATTGGAATGCATAAGAAATACAACAATAAAACATCAATGTTCATAAATGTCCCAGATCTTCCTCAGTCCTCAGACCTTCCTGCACCAGCAAAGGCAATGTCACAACGACTGAATGAACACACAAGGTTCCACACTGACAGATGCTGTGGCCGGTTACACTGAGACAGATGAGCCTAGTGTAGAAATCTAACGTCTTATGAATCCTCTTTTATGTCTAGATGAGTCATCCAGCGGCCTCAGTCCCAGGACAGAACAGGCGGCCCCTCCCCCTCGCGGGGTCTTCCCTCCTCATGAGCTCCCCCCTCCACAGGTAAGCACACCCACACACACACACACACATTACTCTGTCCTATTCTTTTCATTCCTTCGTCCCGTCAATGTCCGCGTCAGGTGGTCATCCGGGGGAGCGTCCAGGGGGGCACCGGTCGTCTTGCCGCCCGTCACTTACCTTTGACTCTGTCCGTGGTGCTGATGCTGCTGTCGTCGTGGGAGTCTCGCTGACCTTCAGGAGACACAGGACAGAGATTCAGACTGTAACGAGGAGGGGAAAGCTGCTGCGACATATTTTTGTATCACTATTATTAACTTCACTATATTTTTTATTTAACTCAATCAATGGTACGGTTTTGAGAGACGTGTAAATACAGAGATTATGTATATTTATAAAGATGTAAATATAGGTTAATTCACACGATGCCTTGGATTAAGATGTAGCGCTTCATTTAGCATTATGATTGTATTGGCTGTTTTTGCTCATTTTTCTTAAGTCTAATTCCTTATTCTATTACCTTGCATCATATTTTCCTCCGTTGGTTAAAGCATTCTTAAACGTAAAATTAATTTAGCTTATATTTTGATTATAAAAAGTAATATTTTTAGATTAAAGCAAAAATAATGGTCAATCATGGTTCCGTACCATAGTAATTTGGTTGTCTGTCTATCTTTGCCTGTACAGTCGCCATATGGCCACGGTCATTTGATTCCACAGCCTTCTTGAAGCTATTTCAAAAGACTCAATATTGAACTCAATTTTAAACCAATTTACCATCAATAAGATAAAGGCATCTCTTGAAAAACAGCTGGTATTTGCGTCACAAAGACCAATTATGATGCCTATTGAAGCTTTCTATTTCCTCGTTTGTTGAATGATCAAAATAACTAAACAAAATAGATTGTGATGTATGGGTTAGTGTCTCCGTACGCTGCATCTCGTGCTTGATGCAAGTACAGCTGTGCCGCGTCCACACATGCAAATGAGCTGTAATTCAGATTAATTACGATCATGAAGCCCTTCTGGCTCTCTGCTGGGTGTCAAAGCTCCACACGGAGACGCCCAGGACGGACAACTGGAATATTGATGAAAGAGGCTGAGTGAAGGGCATGGGAAGAGTCCATTGTATGTGTTCTGTAATCTGTTTGACTAGGATTCTATAAAAGGATCAGGGTTTGTTTGCACTCTATATTAAATCATATTCCTGGGTTTAGACAAGGCTGAAAGTGGTTGACATGAGACTATATCAAAATACTATAAGAACTGATCCTGCCATAGACTAACAAATCACACTGATCCATTACGGCCTGATAGTGGCTACTGCTTCACTCCTCTCTTAGACATTTACTCAATTAATATTTTATTTATAAGTAAGTTATTAATTAATTGCGTGAATTAAACGCAGGATCAAATGAACACTATCTTATATCATGTAATGTTCTGTATTCATAAAATAAAATAATAACATTGTCACAAAATGTCACATGGGTCTCAGTTCATGGCCAAATATTGTTTTGTGGAAAATATCAAATCAAATCAGTTTTCATTGCAGATAGAGGAGGCTCAAAGGGGAGTTGGTACCCAGGACACTCATGAACATGTATGGTTGTTGATTAACCTGGAACCCTATGGACCAATGACTTTCTATTGTATTATTGCATTTCTGAATTGACAATTTCTGTAACGTCCTCTGAGTCCCCTGGTATTGTGATTTTAGCCAATACATTGATTTGATTTAAAAAATATCAAGTGATATAATTATTATACATGCACATTGAGTACAGTAAATACAGACTACAGGTTAGATTGGTGCCAACAGTGACTGCTGTGCGGCCTTTTAAAAGATACATTTGGGAAAATATCAAAAGATCTCCCTCAGATCTAGCCTGGTCTTATCCATCCATATACTCTGGTCCATGATCATTTCCTACATGTACGATGGGTCTGATCCCAGTGGCTGCGGTTTACTCGGTTGAATCCCCTCCGACCAATCAGAGAGCGGGGGAGGCGGGTGTTGTAGGAAGGTGTTGGTGACGTCAAGAGTTTGTGCTGAATTTGCTGGTTTTAGTTTGTCGGAGAATGTGACAGTAAAATAATCTGTTCTGGTTCAATCCAAATATCCAGAAATTGAAGCAGGAGTAAGAGGAATGTTTAGTAAATGTCATTGCTGCAAAAATGTTGTGGCTCTACTCCCCACGGGCTCTGTTAGGGGCAAAGGAGATGGCTAAAGCTAGGCTAAATGCTAGATGCCTCACTCACTCGGGCGCATTACGTATGTCACGGTAAACTCAGATCCAATCGTTTCAATCTGCAAAAGGGGTTAACCCCTCCCACCTGTTAACAGAACTCAATGGAGCAAATCCAGACCTTAGTACAAAATGAAATGAGTACGATGGTGTGGTAAGACCAAGGCTACTTCAGATCAAACTTCATAAACAAACCCCGGCATTGTAAGTTCCAGTACCTATCAGGTCAAACGGGAAAGATAATAATGAAAACCTTCCACGCCTTGCAGAAGATTGACTCACTAAATTGCTTTAAGCTGTTTTGATGTCGGCTGAACACAGATATAATCAAAAACATTAATTACAAACATGTATCATATTTCCTAGTAGAATGACAGTCTGAACAGGGCACTCCACTGTGATGAGGTTACCAAAATGTTGCACAAGTGCAAAATACCGGAGGCTTTATAAAACGTAACTGATACTTTACACGCTGGCAACCAAACTAAGAACTCTTTTATTGATCATATTTTACTGTTTCTCTATAAAAACCGAATCCTGCTTGAAGTTACAGAATTGGAATGAGATATTTCAAAAGAATCCATTGTCTTGTATTGTCATCTTCCCACGGCTATTGACTTCAGCTGATTTCGCCATGTCTGTCAATATGGGAGTAGATCTATGAAAACAAATGAACAGGTTGCTCAAACTGGTTACTGTGGGTTGAATAAACTAATTGTGCGTCTATGTGTGAGAGAATGACAGTCCAGCTCTTTGGCACGGAGCTGTCTGTGTGATTACTGATCAGATTGGCAGAAATGGGGAGGTTGGCATTACTCGCCCTGGCTGGCGCGCCACATTGCCAAGGGATGATCGCAAATAAAGACGTCGTTGAATGCGAATCGTCATGGAGATGAAGACGGAAGCAGCGGAAGAAGAGGGAAATGCACAGAGGCGACGGAGAGCGTTTCTCACACTGAAGCTGCACAAGCATCCCAGGACTTGTAACAGGTTGTGTTCCAAAGTAAACACAACCATATTCTATTATTTGCAGCATCTTTTATTTTCAATATTACAATAAAGTGTTCTTGCACCATCTTTCAATGAACAAAAAGTAAAATAGTTCACAAAACATCTATGAAAGTTTTCTATAGATTAAATACACAGATGACCCACAAATGTTGAGTTGAAACTGGAAGTTCATGCCATTTACAAAGAGTTATGGATATTTTACTTTTTAATTGAATTTTATACAATTCTGAAAGGAAAGAATTGTATTAATTTAATTTAATTGGAATGTAACTTAACCAAGATTCTCATAAATATTGATAGTTATTCTGCGAAACATACAAGAATGTTATTTTGAACAATTATCAATCTTTTTTTGAGAATCCATCCAAGAGTTTTCTTAGTTATTCTTTGTTAAAACCAGTTTTAAAATTGCAGCTGTTCTTCCTGACAGTGTATTACACGAGGGACAAAGAGAGAGTCTAATTAACTGTCTGTTCCAGGAGTAGTAGTTACTACTTGCTTGTTGTTATCACATCGGTCTGTGTTGTCAGCCTCTCAGACGCTCCTAATATCTCACGTTACCTTGTGCAGCGTTGCTCCAGATCCCGGGGCTCCTGCAGCTCTCTGTTTACACAGCTCCTCACAGGTATGTCTGCTGTCTCTATGCCTCGTGGCCTCAGCAGGTGTACATGCATGCCCTGCACTACAGGTGAACAGTAGGTCCTTTATGTACATGCCAAACAGAGATCACAATAAGAAGTCAGTCCGATGTTTATGAGGCAGAGCAGGCTGATACTGACAGCATTAGGAAAATTGTTGTTTTAACCTGAAAAGTCTGCCTCATAGCCGTGCTGTGAAATAGCCCCTCCAGGAAGACCAGCAGTTCAGTGTGCAAAACTGGCATGTCTCAAGGACCCACTATATTTTAAGCCACACTCTCAGATGCTCCTTATGCGAAGGATTAGCCTATAAGAAAATCAAGGCTGTAAGGACACTATACACATGATGAACCCAGCAGTGGTGCAACATGCTGACTCCACACAAACAGTCGGCGTATTGAGCAGTTCTTGCAGTGAAGCAAAACGTATTTTTGTTCTTCAGGGAATGGTTCTTTCTCCTTTAAACTTCACCAATGCTTTCTCCCTCACCCGATTGACCCTTGGGTGCTCATCTCTTCATGTTTCTCTGTCTGGTCCTGAATGTGTGGCTCTTTGTGTTCTGACTGCTGCTGGCCATGTAAGCGATTCCTCCATATTGATGCTGATTCAGGTCTAAATTTGGGCTTTGACTTGTTTAATTCTGAAAGCTGATCAACTCCACAGCTCATTATTCTCAGCTGCATCCCTTCACCTTCACAGCGACAGGAGTGAGCAGGGATTAAGTGTCTCACTGAAGGCACTGTCTTACCCGGTTTTCTTGATAAAAATATTCCCTGAGCTCTTGTGAAACTGTCAGGCATTAAGGCTATACCTATGTGTGTTAAGTAAGTATTAAGTATGGTAAGTATTCTGATTCCCAACTGTAAAGCAAGACAGGAAGGTTTATTTGTAGAGCACAATTTATACACAAGAAAGGAGACGTTAACACAAAACAAGCAAAATCATTGCTTGCCTTACATTGATTCATTTAAAACAGGGGTCTCAAACTCAATTTCGTTGAGGGCCAAACAAGGTGAAGTCTAGGTGAAGCAGGGCCACATTAAAGGTGTTTGTGTGTGTGCAAAGTATATGAACATTGGAGGAAACAATATTCACAAACTGAACCAAAGGCAAAAAGGCCCAGTTTTGTACACTGTTGGGCTGAATAAAGTTAACTTTTATTCATTAGTTATTGCGTTCATTGTTAACTTTGTATGATAATATAAGTGCTGTGTTTGTTTTCTTGATTTGCTTTATAATGATGTATAACATGCCATATTGGTGTAGACGCTCAGTGGGGGCCGGGTTGACATTAAACCCCACAAGGGGGCCCCAAAGTAACATAATGTAAATCTTTCTGTTGTTTGCACAGGAATGCATTCAAATACATATTCAATATTCAAATTCATGATCAAAATACTGTTTTCTTGTGCAAAGGAAGAACATAAATTATTTGATTACAAATACAATCTATTTTAAACCTTTGTTTTTGCGTCCCTTTAAAGCAGGCATGTCCAAACCATAGACAGTAAATATTAACGGACGTAGTCACACCTATCTCCGCTGTTGAAACTAATGGGCCATCACCTGTGCCTTCTGTGCAGTTTTTAAAATGGCCGCGGGGCTGGAAAATGTGAAAAAACGCATTTGCGCATTCGTTATCTGCACTAGACCCTTTCATTTAACAAGTGCATTCAAAAGTCCACAGCCGCAAAACTGGACTTGTCCAAAAAATATACTCCCCTCAGCAGTTGGGCATGCTGCAATCTCACTTCTTACAGGTGGGGGTGTACCTGGAAACAGAATTACCCAATGCTTTTGTATGCTACACGGTTTTTACATCTAGAGACTGAAAGTTTTGGCTTATCATTTTCACTGAAATATAGGTCTGGACTTTGACCGGATCATTCTAACTTATGTAGCGTACCTTCTGGACTATAAGGCGGACCTGTATATAAACTGCACCAGCAACGTTTTAAAAGAAAGAACTTTTAGTCCACATTTAGGCCTCACTTCATGTTGTAATGTAGCAAAAAGGCGACTGGTTTACCTGGTTGCAACATGATTTATAACAATAGCTTCTATACTGGTGCTCATTCTGTCCTATTGCTACTAAAATGTGATGGAGTTGAAAAAATAAGTGCTCTAACAATAGCCCAAAAACATATCATAAATTTCTATAGAAGACGCAGGGTTCAAAGAAAAAGTAGAGGCTTGCAGTCCGGGAATTATGGTATGTTTTTTTTTTCCACCATTACATTGTATGAAAAGAAAAATAGCCCTGATGGTACAATACGCTTTTTTTCTCATAAAGTTGTCCTGTATTTTGGTCCACACCTTCCCATCAACTCTCTTCCCTGCCCTGGTTGAAGAAAAGCAGCCCCTAAGCAAGTTGCCGTCATCAGGTTTGGCAGTGGGGTTGGTTCTGTTGATGAGCAATGACTGTTTCTATTGTATGTTTTATTTGTTTTCATTTGAAAGTGTATTTATGTACTACCTAATTAGAGCAACTCATTATTGTTCATGGACATTAAACATTGATGAAAAATGCATGTCATAATGGAATTAGAAAACGCATTAATCGTGGACTGTAACCTTCTCATTGAGATGAATCCAATTTTCCCATTTGGAGAATATGAATCACTTTTCACAAACGTTTTTTTTAACACCAATGTATTTGTATTTTAGTGCTACTGCATGTGCTATAAACGTCATCGACATCTTAATGCCAATGTCAATGTCAGCTTTATTTGTATAGCACATTCTTGACAGGTCTTGGCAACCTTTCTTGTTTAGATAAAAATAGGTTTGTTATGCAATGCTTTAAGAAAACATTTCTCAAAACTGTTTAAGCAATAAGTTAATAATAGTTGAAATAAACGTGTTCTGTCTTGGGTTCATGCAGGTTCTCGTTCCCCTGGACCCCTTCCAGCCTTTCACACTCATGTCATGATGTCAGCGGTTATTGGCTCTGGAGCTACACTTCTGACGACCTGACAGTTTGGATTGAGATTGACAGATACACTATGACTAAGTAACTTGACTTATTATGAATGTGTTCGACCTCAAAATTTGTGCTGTGGATTTTCTTTTATGTCAGTATGCTTTAACTCCATACACGGTGGTGAGAAACTACTGTTGTAGCCACAGCTGCCCTGGGGCACACTAACAGGCGCGAGGAAAGCAGTCTGTGCCATTGCCCCCTTTGACCACCATCAACACACCAGACTCATTCTAAGCAATGTGGGTGAAGTGTCCTGCCTAAGGACTCAACAATTTGGCACGTTACAGCCATTTATTTTTTCCCCTTGGTCTGTGAAATGCACTATATATGAATATTACTTACTTTAGAACGTGTTTTGGATTCAGGACCTCATGGAGTAATTTCCAAAAATCATTTTAAATTTATTGTAAAATTCAAATGTGTTGAAATGTATTAAACAAAATGCAGATGAATTCTAATTGTAAATCTTGCATGTTGCAGATGAGTTGCCCATCTTCAGATGCCTGGTCCAGTGATGAGTACAAGCCTCCTCCTGGAAGCCCGTGCTCCTCTATATTATCCAGCAACGTTTCAGTATTTTCTGACACATGTGAGTCCAGACCAAAGACAAGTCCTGGTTTAGTCCTGGTTTAGACCTAGGGTAGACCTGGTTTAGACCTGGTTTAGACCTGGTTCAGACCTGGTTTAGACCTAGGCTAGACCTGGTTCAGACCTGGGGTAGTCCTGGTGTTTAGACCTAGGGTAGACCTGGTTCAGTCCTGGTTCAGTCCTGGTTTAGACCTAGGCTAGACCTGGTTTAGACCTAGGCTAGACCTGGTTTAGACCTAGGCTAGACCTGGTTTAGACCTAGGAGGGTAGACCTGGTTTAGTCCTGGTTCAGTCCTGGTTCAGTCCTGGTTTAGACCTAGGCTAGACCTGGTTTAGACCTAGGCTAGACCTGGTTTAGACCTAGGCTAGACCTGGTTTAGACCTAGGCTAGACCTGGTTTAGACCTAGGCTAGACCTGGTTTAGACCTAGGGTAGACCTGGTTTAGTCCTGGTTCAGTCCTGGTTCAGTCCTGGTTTAGACCTAGGCTAGACATGGTTTAGACCTAGGGTAGACCTGGTTTAGTCCTGGTTCAGTCCTGGTTTAGTCCTGGTTCGGACCTGGTTCAGTCCTGGTTTAGTCCTGGTTTAGTCTTGATTCAGACCTGGTTCAGACCTGGTTTAGTCCTGTTTCAGTCCTGGTTTAGACCTGGTTTAGACCTGGTTTAGACCTGGTTTAGTCCTGGTTTAGTCCTGGTTCAGACCTGGTTTAGACCTGGTTCAGACCTGGTTTAGTCCTGGTTTAGTCCTTGCTGACCCTTCTGTGTGTTCTTAGCGTGTGCTGAAGTGTCTGATGAAGAGGAGCTAGAGCCGACCTCCACAAAGGCCCAGAAAAACAAACTGACCAAGAGGACAGATGGTGAGTACAACTGATCCTGGTTTAGACCTGGTTTAGACCTGGTTTAGTCCTGGTTTAGACCTGGTTCAGTCCTGGTTTAGACCTGGTTTAGACCTAGGCTAGACCTGGTTCAGACCTGGGGTAGTCCTGGTGTTTAGACCTAGGGTAGACCTGGTTCAGTCCTGGTTTAGACCTAGGCTAGACCTGGTTTAGACCTAGGCTAGACCTGGTTTAGACCTAGGGTAGACCTGGTTTAGTCCTGGTTCAGTCCTGGTTTAGTCCTGGTTCGGACCTGGTTCAGTACTGGTTTAGTCCTGGTTTAGTCTTGATTCAGACCTGGTTCAGACCTGGTTTAGTCCTGTTTCAGTCCTGGTTTAGACCTGGTTTAGACCTGGTTTAGTCCTGGTTTAGTCCTGGTTTAGTCCTGGTTCAGACCTGGTTTAGACCTGGTTTAGACCTGGTTCAGACCTGGTTTAGTCCTGGTTTAGTCCTTGCTGACCCTTCTGTGTGTTCTTAGCGTGTGCTGAAGTGTCTGATGAAGAGGAGCTAGAGCCGACCTCCACAAAGGCCCAGAAAAACAAACGGACCAAGAGGACAGATGGTGAGTACAACTGGTCCTGGTTTAGTCCTGGTTTAGTCCTGGTTTAGTCCTGGTTTAGACCTGGTTTAGACCTGGTTTAAACCTGGTTTAGACCTGGTTTAACCTGGTTTAGTCCTGGTTCAGTCCTGGTGTTTAGACCTGGTTTAGACCTGGTCCAGACCTGGTTTAGACCTGGTTTAGACCTGGTTTAGACCTGGTTTAGACCTGGTTTAGACCTGGTTTAGTCCTGGTTTAGTCCTGGTTTAGTCCTGGTTCAGTCCTGGTTTAGTCCTGGTTCAGTCCTGTTTTGGACCTGGTTCAGACCTTGCTGACCCTTCTGTGTGTTCTTAGCGTGTGCTGAAGTGTCTGATGAAGAGCAGCTAGAGCCGACCTCCACAAAGGCCCAGAAAAACAAACTGACCAAGAGGACAGATGGTGAGTACAACTGATCCTGGTTTAGACCTGGTTTAGACCTGGTTTAGTCCTGGTTTAGACCTGGTTCAGTCCTGGTTTAGACCTGGTTTAGACCTAGGCTAGACCTGGTTTAGACCTGGTTTAGACCTGGTTCAGACCTGGTTTAGTCCTGGTTTAGTCCTTGCTGACCCTTCTGTGTGTTCTTAGCGTGTGCTGAAGTGTCTGATGAAGAGGAGCTAGAGCCGACCTCCACAAAGGCCCAGAAAAACAAACTGACCAAGAGGACAGATGGTGAGTACAACTGGTCCTGGTTTAGACCTGGTTCAGTCCTGGTGTTTAGACCTGGTTCAGTCCTGGTTCAGTCCTGGTGTTTAGACCTAGGGTAGACCTGGTTTAGTCCTGGTTTAGACGTGGTTTAGGCCTGGTTTAGGCCTGGTTTAGACCTGGTTCAGTCCTGGTTTAGACATGGTTTAGGCCTGGTTTAGGCCTGGTTTAGACCTGGTTCAGTCCTGGTTCAGTCCTGGTTTAGTCCTGGTTTAGACCTAGGCTAGACCTGGTTTAGACCTGGTTTAGACCTGGTTTAGTCCTGGTTTAGTCTTGGTACAGACCTGGTTTAGTCCTGTTTCAGTCCTTTTTTAGACCTGGTTTAGACCTGGTTCAGTCCTGGTTTAGTCCTGGTTTAGTCCTGGTTCAGTCCTGGTTTAGTCCTGGTTTAGTCCTGGTTTAGTCCTGGTTTAGACCTGGTTCAGTCCTGGTTTAGTCCTGGTTTAGTCCTGGTTTAGACCTGGTTCAGACCTGGTTCAGTCCTGGTTCAGACCTGGTTTAGTCCTGATTCAGACCTGATTCAGACCTGGTTCAGTCCTGGTTCAGACCTGGTTTAGTCCTGGTTCAGACCTGGTTCAGACCTGGTTTAGTCCTGGTTTAGTCCTGGTTTAGTCCTGGTTCAGACCTGGTTCAGTCCTGGTTTAGTCCTGGTTTAGTCCTGGTTTAGTCCTGGTTTAGTCCTGGTTTAGTCCTGGTTTAGTCCTGGTTCAGACCTGGTTCAGACCTGGTTCAGACCTGGTTCAGTCCTGGTTCAGACCTGGTTTAGTCCTGGTTTAGTCCTGGTTTAGTCCTGGTTCAGACCTGGTTCAGTCCTGGTTCAGACCTGGTTTAGTCCTGGTTTAGTCCTGGTTCAGTCCTGGTTCAGTCCTGGTTTAGTCCTGGTTTAGTCCTGGTTTAGTCCTGGTTTAGTCCTTGCTGACCCTTCTGTGTGTTCTTAGCGTGTGCTGAAGTGTCTGATGAAGAGGAGCTAGAGCCGACCTCCACAAAGGCCCAGAAAAACAAACTGACCAAGAGGACAGATGGTGAGTACAACTGATCCTGGTTTAGTCCTGGTTTAGACCTGGTTTAGTCCTGGTTTAGTCCTTGTTTAGTCCTGGTTCAGTCCTGGTTTAGACCTGGTTCAGTCCTGGTTTAGGCCTGGTTTAGTCCTGGTTCAGTCCTGGTTTAGACCTGGTTTAGACCTGGTTTAGACCTGGTTTAGACCTAGGCTAGACCTGGTTTAGACCTAGGGTAGACCTGGTTTAGTCCTGGTTCAGTCCTGGTTTAGACCTAGGCTAGACATGGTTTAGACCTAGGGTAGACCTGGTTCAGTCCTGGTTCAGTCCTGGTTCAGTCCTGGTTTAGTCCTGGTTCGGACCTGGTTCAGTCCTGGTTTAGTCCTGGTTTAGTCTTGATTCAGACCTGGTTTAGTCCTGGTTCAGTCCTGGTTCAGACCTGGTTTAGTCCTGGTTTAGTCCTGGTTTAGTCCTGGTTCAGTCCTGGTTTAGTCCTTGCTGACCCTTCTGTGTGTTCTTAGCGTGTGCTGAAGTGTCTGATGAAGAGGAGCTAGAGCCGACCTCCACAAAGGCCCAGAAAAACAAACGGACCAAGAGGACAGATGGTGAGTACAACTGATCCTGGTTTAGTCCTGGTTTAGGCCTGGTTTAGGCCTGGTTTAGACCTGGTTCAGTCCTGGTTTAGACCTGGTTTAGACCTAGGCTAGACCTGGTTTAGGCCTGGTTTAGGCCTGGTTTAGTCCTGGTTTAGACCTGGTTTAGACCTAGGCTAGACCTGGTTCAGACCTGGTTTAGACCTGGTTTAGACCTGGTTCAGACCTGGTTTAGTCCTGGTTTAGTCCTTGCTGACCCTTCTGTGTGTTCTTAGCGTGTGCTGAAGTGTCTGATGAAGAGGAGCTAGAGCCGACCTCCACAAAGGCCCAGAAAAACAAACTGACCAAGAGGACAGATGGTGAGTACAACTGGTCCTGGTTTAGTCCTGGTTTAGTCCTGGTTTAGTCCTTGTTCAGTCCTTGTTTAGTCCTGGTTCAGTCCTGGTTTAGACCTGGTTCAGTCCTGGTTTAGGCCTGGTTTAGTCCTGGTTCAGTCCTGGTTTAGACCTGGTTTAGACCTGGTTTAGACCTTGTTTAGTCCTGGTTTAGTCCTGGTTTAGTCCTGGTTTAGTCCTGGTTTAGTCCTGGTTTAGGCCTGGTTTAGTCCTGGTTCAGTCCTGGTTTAGACCTGGTTTAGACCTGGTTTAGACCTGGTTTAGACCTGGTTTAGACCTGGTTTAGACCTGGTTTAGACCTGGTTTAGACCTGGTTTAGTCCTGGTTTAGACCTGGTTTAGTCCTGGTTTAGACCTGGTTTAGACCTGGTTTAGACCTCGTTTAGACCTGGTTTAGACCTGGTTTAGACCTGGTTCAGTCCTGGTTCAGTCCTGGGGTAGTCCTGGTGTTTAGACCTAGGGTAGACCTGGTTTAGTCCTGGTTTAGACCTGGTTCAGTCCTGGTGTTTAGACCTAGGGTACACCTAGGGTAGACCTGGTTTAGTCCTGGTTCAGTCCTGGTTTAGACCTGGTCCAGACCTGGTCATCAGGATAAACATAAGTCTTTATGTGTCTTATTGTCTCCATCAGAAGCTTCTAGAAACCCAAAGAAACCCTGGAGTGAGGAGGAGAGCCGTGGAGAAGAGGATGGAGAAGTACCTGGCTCTGTGTGCTGTGCCTCACACAGGAGTCTGCAGTCCTCATCAACAGAACCTGGAAGGACCTCAAGTACTTTGTGTATAATACTATTATCCGACTCAAGAGGCAGCTTGTGTAGCTGGTATTTGTGTCAAACACATTCCCAAAGCGCCGCAGTGGCTGCAGGTTTTCCATCAGACCAAGCAGGAGCAGAACAGACTCCTCCCATTTCCTCAGTGAGTTCAGTCTTAACCTGAAGGTTTGAGGAAATGGGAGGAGTCTGCTCTGCTCTTGCTTGGTCTGATGGAAAACCTGCAGCCACTGCGGCGCTTTAGGAATGAGTTTGACCGCCCTGCTTTAATGTTAAGTGCAGTTATGTTTTAAAGTCCCGTTCAAGAGCACTTTGTATTAGGTCCTTTGTAATTGTCCTGTTGGGACAAGTCAAAATACAAAGATGCAAATAAACCTGTCTTTCAAATGTTTTGCTTTGTTTTATTAAAATTGCTGTGATCCCACATAATAATCTGTGTCCATTTGCACATGTGACCAACTATATAATTCTAAATATACCTTCAAAGAGTTAAAAAAAAGGCCTATTCATGATTTTTTTTAGCAAATTTCACTTATTGCCCCCACTCTGATGGTTCAAAACTTTTTCTTAAATCTTGGTTCTAAAATTTTTTCAATGGAGTGTATAGCTCCGCAGCGCCATCAAGTGTCTAGAAAGTGTTTTTTCTTCCTCCTAAAACATTGGGAAAGGCAAGTCCTCAGTTTTCATGTTTTTAACTACGACCTCACTAGTGTTTGCGGGAATGTGTGTGTTTGTGTGTGTGTGTTCTGGCGAATAGAGACTGATTCTTGAATGTCTGAAGTGTTATTGCAATAGCACCACACTGAGAGCGAGGGTCAGGGCAGATAGTAACATATGTGTGCACGTGTGTGTGTGCGCGCCGCGGACACGAGTGCACACACACACACACTTCAGCAACGAGCGTACGAGCAATGAGAAATGAATGAATGAGAATGAAAAGTGTGGAGCAAAGCGATCGGAGGCAGGGAAGTTACAAGTGTGTGTGTGTGTTCTGGTGATTAAATAAAGACTGATTCTTTAATGTCTGAAGTGTTACTGCGATAGCACCACTGAGAGCAGGGTCAGGACAGAGGGAGTTATACTCGTAGGAAACGCTTTTCTTTGGCCTTGCAGCCACACACTCCCTGTGCCCCTCGGTCTGGGGCTTATATGAAAGGTTTAACAGAAGCGGAGAATATAAGAAAGTGCAGGAAAGACGTGTGTGAAAATGCGTGTCACAGGAAGACGTGTAATGTGACGCAAGATAATCAGATATTAGGACCGATATCACACACATCAGGTCTGAGTGAGATATTAGGACCTATAACACACACATCAGGTCTGAGTGAGATATTAGGACCTACAACACACACATCAGGTCTGAGTGAGATATTAGGACCTACAACACACACATCAGGTCTGAGTGAAATATGAGGACCTACAACACACACATCAGGTCTGAGTGAGATATCAGGACCTACAACACACACATCAGGTCTGAGTGAGATATCAGGACCTACAACACACACATCAGGTCTGAGTGAGATATCAGGACCTACAACACACACATTAGGTCTGAGTGAGATATCAGGACCTATAACACACACATCAGGTCTGAGTGAGATATTAGGACCTACAACACACACATCAGGTCTGAGTGATATATTAGGACCTACAACACACACATCAGGTCTGAGTGAGATATTAGGACCTACAACACACACATCAGGTCTGAGTGACATATTAGGACCTACAGTATAACAAGCACTTCAGGTCTGAGTGAAATATTTATCAATCGTTACTCCTTTCACGGAGAGTAACTCTGTAGATGGACAAATACATTATAACTTTAATGTAGAATTATTTATTTTTATACATTGTGTTTGTAATTTTTGACACCTCACTTTTATATTTGTTTTTGATGTTTTAAATTCTAATTTAAACATGATTTTCCAACTGGAGTTAAGACAATTTTTCAGGGAGATAATCTACTGACACAAGGAGAACATGCAAGCTCCACTCCAAAAGGCCCTTTCTGGCTGAAAGTTTTTTTCTTTTTTTTTTTTACAAACACACACTCACTACTCAAGTATCTTTTTAAATTACCATGAGTCAATATTTTGGCTATTCTACCCACCTCTGGGAATGTATTTAAGTTTGTGACAAAATAGGTGACATATGAGGACAAGTGTGTGTGTGTTAAAAGTGTGTTAAGGTAGTACCGTGCACGACCAGAGAGGCGCTTCAAACTTTTTGGGACGGAGTGTTTCGGCCCCGACACACATTTTCACTATTTGTAGACATTTTGGGACATGCTTGATTTTTGGTGTGGAGCTTGTTCTGGGCCTCTACAACACTGTAGTATGCATGGAAAAATGGGGACCTGAAAAAAGTCCTGACATTTCCTCAGGTCCTGATATTGAAGGTGTGTTATCATATAAAAGTCCTCATATGTCCACAAAACAAACACACACACACACACACACACACACACACACACACACACACACACACACACACACACACACACACACACACACACACACACACACACACACACACACACACACACACACACACACACACACACACACACACACACACACACACACAAAATGTACAGTACGTGCCATATCTTCTTCCTGATACCCTTGATTATGTCCTCCTGAGCCTCCTGCCACGGCCCTTATGTCCGCACATAAATAGTGTGTTACTCAGCACGTGAGTCCCATCACTTAGAGATTCTCTTTGGTTCTCTCCCACAGTCTTCCTCCCTCTTCACCTTGTAGCTGTGACTGTTACGAGCTCCATCAATGCGTCTGGAGCGGTGGGAACACTACAGGTCATAAATAAACCACACTAACAGGGATGTTAGACTATATCAATACAGCTGAGAGGGAAAGGATCTGGAGATAATGCAAAAATAGTAGAACATTATATAAAGTCAACATATATTATATATTATATTGTTCTTTTATTTCCAACCTGCACGTTTATACATACAGGAAAACAGAAATACAAAGTCTGCGTGGTTTGAAAGGGGAATGATGGCAGCTTACGCTTATATAAAACCACCCCCCCCACACACTCTACTTAGAGACAAGTCATTTTCACGAATGATTACAACACAAGACATTGAACATTCAACACAACACACACACACAGGGCCAATACTCACCAACCCCACACCCCTCTCCTACTATCACAATTACATAAAGTTATCATGTTTTCTCCTCCAGTTACTTTTCCATCATAAAACTTTTTAAAAATCGTTTGAACTGTGTCAAATTTAAACAGTTTTTCAGGTCCTCATTGAGTCCATTCCACAAACTCACTCCTCTTACAGAAATACACATAGACTTAAGCGTTGTTCTGACTCGTGGTTGATGTAATCTATGGACTCTTCTCAAACTCACTCGGAGCTGAGTGTCTCTATCACAAAAAAGATTTTGGATATTTGCTGGAAGAGAGTGTTTTCATACCTTGAACATAACTTGTGCAGTTTTATAATTGACCAAGTCCTCTAATTTTAAATCACTGTTCTTAAGAAAAATCTGGTTTGTGTGTTCATTGTAAGGGACTTTATGAACAATCCTAAGTGCTCTTTTCTGGAGTGTAATCAAAGGCAATAGGTTTGTTTTATAACAGTTTCCCCGAACTTCAAGACAATAATTCAAATGTGACATTACAAGTGAGTGATATAGTGAACATAATAAAAGATAACATATAAAACATACAGCGTTACATATATTGAATGATACGATCAATGGTGTAGAGATGCATCGCACATCGTCCTCACAGTCAGATGGCGTCAGTGCATTAATAAAAGAAGAAAAATCCCACACAATGTAGAATGATAAAACCAGTCCTGTATACACACGCAAGAGATTTAGCTGTAACATATGTAACCTGACACACAGCTGTTTTATTGGAAAATGAACTTGAGAACTAAATTGCATTTGATCACGGTCATATTAAAACATAGAACTATATTAACTTCTACATGATATCTCCAATAACGAATATGCAATCAAGGAAATTGTTGTCAATGAAACCAGCACAACATACATACTGCAGGAGCTTCTAAAACAGCCGAGAGCAGGAGGGAGTTAGGACCTGTTAATGACTGTGTTGAGCAGCAGCCTGGGATCACCACAGCATTCTAACTGCACACTTATTATGGAAATACGTTCAGATATAAAGACACAGCCCTCGAGCAAAACAAGCCACAATAAACAACCATTATCTTCTCTTAAACTATAAAATCACAAACAATTTAGTAGTCGGCATTCGGGGGGAAAAACAAAAGCCTTGATGAGAACAAGCGCAGGACCTAAAGCTTTAGTAAGTAAGTATTCTTTATTTTCACAGGCCAGAGTCACAAAGCGCTTTACAATTGTGGGCGTTTGTCTCCCAATCCACACAGAGAGCAAGGTCGCTAGTACAGGAGGCACATGCCAGACCTGTTGCACATGTTTTTAGTGGTAGGGGAAACCGGAGCACTCAGAGGAAACCAACACAGACACAGGAAGAACATACAAACTCCACTCAGAAAGGCCCTGCTCCGACCGAGATTTGAATCCAGGCTGAGAAGCGAGAGTGCCATCTACTCAGCCACCGTGCCGCCCAAAGACACCCTCCATAGCTAGACTGTAGAAGCCTATGCAGATAAAGTGACATTCAGTGGACATTCTGAAGTTGCAGTTTTGCACATTGCACATGATTGCAGCATTGACTATTTCCAGATAAATGACACGTACAGGCTACAAGAGAAAGCAGTTGAATTTTACAGCACTGATCAATTCTTTGCTAAGGAGTTTTACAGTGGCTGCATTTCAGGAGCAGTCAGAGTTCTTTATAGTTCCCTTTAGACAGCGGTAGATGCTTACAATGCAGATGAAACTGTCCCGAAGCTAAAGGGGGTTTTGCGGGAGCTCGGGGAAGCAC